GCGGACACGTGTGGGGCTGGCGTGGGGCAGGCGTGGGGGCTGGTGTGGGGCACAAGTGGGGCTGGTGTGGGGCAGGCGTGGGGGCTGGTGTGGGGCACAAGTAGGGCTGGTGTGGGGCACAAGTGGGGCTGGCGTGGGGCAGGTGTGGAGCTGGTGTGGGGCAGGTGTGGGGCTGGCGTGGGGGCTGGTGTGGGGCTGGCGTGGGGCAGGCGTGAGGTTGGTGTGGGGCAGAAGTGGGGCTGGCGTGGGGCAGGCGTGGGGGCTGGTGTGGGGCAGAAGTGAGGCTGGTGTGGGGCAGGCATGGGGCAGGTGTGGAGCTGGCATGGGGAAGGTGTGGAGCTGGTGTGGGGCAGGTGTGGGGCAGGCGTGGGGCTGGCGTGGGGCAGGTGTGGGGCTGGCGTGGGGCTGGTGTGGGGCAGGTGTGGGGCAGGCGTGGGGCTGGCGTGGGGCAGGTGTGGGGCTGGCGTGGGGCAGGTGTGGGGCTGGTGTGGGGCAGGCGTGGAGCTGGCGTGGGGCAGGTGTGGGGCTGGCGTGGGGCAGGCGTGGGGCAGGTGTGGGTTCAGCCACGGGCACTCAGACCCCCACGGGGACCCCGCAGGGACCCACCCCCCTGCGCACAGGCACATTCCCGTGCACACATGGATGCATTCCCATGCGCACATGTGGATTCCCACACACGTGTGTGTGCTCCCATGCACACAGGCACGTTCCCATGCACACAGGCACGTTCCCATGCACACAGGCACATACCTATGCACATAGGCACGTTCCCATGCACATAGGCATGTTCTTACGTGCACACGTCTGTGCTCCCATGCACACAGGCACGTTCCCATGCACACAGGCACGTTCCCATGCACACAGGCACGTTCCCATGCACATAGACATGTTACGTGCACACGTCTGTGCTCCCATGCACGCAGGCCCGTGGTGCCATGCACACTCCATGCACATTCCCGTGCACACAAGCACATACTCCAGCACATTCCCTTGCACACGGATGCATTCCCATGCACACACACACGCAGGTACCCGTGTGTGCACCCATGCACGTGCTTGCTCAGAGCCCAAAGCCACCGTGATGCAAACACCATGCCATGGTGCCAGGGCTGGGGCAGAGGGACAGGGGGTAATGGTGATGGGGGGACACGGTGATATGGGGGGGACGGACACAGTGATGGGGGGGACATGGTGATGGGGGGGACACAGTGATTGGGGGGGCACAGTGATGGGGGGGATGGACACAGTGATTGGGGGGGACACAGTGATGGGGTGGCACACAGTGATGGGGGGACACACAGTGATGGGGGGACACAGTGATGAGGGGACACAGTGACGGGGGGACACAGTGATGGGGGGACATGGTGAAGTGGGGGACACAGTGATGTGGCAGACACGGTGATGGGGGGGACACAGTGATGGGGGGACACAGTGATGGGGGGGACACACAGTGATGAGGGGGACACAGTGATGGGGGGGATGCACAGTGATGGGGGGGACACGGTGATAGGGGGGACACACAGTGCTGTGGGGGACGCACAGTGATGGGGGGACACACAGTGATGGGGGGGCACAGTGATGGGGGGCACAGTGATGGGGGGCACAGTGATGGGGGGACACACAGTGATGAGGGGACACAGTGACGGGGGGACACAGTGATGGGGGGGCACAGTGATGGGGGGACACAGTGATGGGGGGACACACAGTGATGGGGGGCACAGTGATGGGGGGACACAGTGATGGGGGGACACGGTGATATGGGGGGACACACAGTGATGGGGGGACACAGTGATGGGGGGCACAGTGATGGGGGGACACACAGTGATGGGGGGACACAGTGATGGGGGGACACGGTGATATGGGGGGACACACAGTGATGGGGGGGACACGGTGATATGGGGGGACACACAGTGATGGGGGGGACACGGTGATGGGGGGACATGGTGATGGGGGGGGCACCCTTTGCCTTTTGGGCCCCAGCCCTCGGGAAGCGCCGTCTCTCCCTTGCCGTGTCAAGGCCCCATAACACGGAATTCTCGGCTATGGCTGTGCCGAGGCCTCCCCCGCACCCACAGGCCCCACATCCACACTGAACACCCCCATTCCCAGCAGGATGGGCAGCGAAGGGGAGGGTGTTTGGGGGGGAAACACTCAAAGCCCCCACCCGGGTCCCCTGGGGCACCCAAAAAGGGGAGGGAAGCAGGAGCCTGCTGCACCCCAAAACCCAGCTGGTGACCAAGCACCCAAAGGGGTGACACCAGCACCCACTGCCCCCTGCCCTGAGGATGTAGGGTGCAGGAGGGTCCCATCCATGGGTGTTTCGGTGCTGGATGTAGGGGTCACATCCCCTCTGCACCGGGTGGGTATCACGGAGCATCCTTCACGGAGCTGCTTCCCAGGGTGCTGCAGCCTCAATCCCTGCGGCTCCCGGTTATCCAGTGCCAGGATTAGCAGCCGGGCTGGGGCAGGATGCTCTGCACTGGGAATGCTGGGGCAGGATGCTCTGCACTGGGAATGCTGGATCAGGATGCTCTGCACTGGGAATGCTGGGGCAGGATGCTCTGCACTGGGAATGCTGGGGCAGGATGCTCTGCACTGGGAATGCTGGATCAGGATGCTCTGCACTGGGAATGCTGGGGCAGGATGCTCTGCACTGGGAATGCTGGAGCAGGATGCTCTGCACTGGGAATGCTGGGGCAGGATGCTCTGCACTGGGAATGCTGGAGCAGGATGCTCTGCACTGGGAATGCTGGGGCAGGATACTCTGCACTGGGAATGCTGGAGCAGGATGCTCTGCACTGGGAATGCTGGGGCAGGATGCTCTGCACTGGGAATGCTGGAGCAGGATGCTCTGCACTGGGAATGCTGGGGCAGGATGCTCTGCACTGGGAATGCTGGGGCAGGATGCTCTGCACTGGGAATGCTGGGGCAGGATGCTCTGCACTGGGAATGCTGGGGCAGGATGCTCTGCACTGGGAATGCTGGAGCAGGATGCTCTGCACTGGGAATGCTGGGGCAGGATGCTCTGCACTGGGAATGCTGGAGCAGGATACTCTGCACTGGGAATGCTGGGGCAGGATACTCTGCACTGGGAATGCTGGAGCAGGATGCTCTGCACTGGGAATGCTGGGGCAGGATACTCTGCACTGGGAATGCTGGGGCAGGATGCTCTGCACTGGGAATGCTGGAGCAGGATACTCTGCACTGGGAATGCTGGGGCAGGATGCTCTGCACTGGGAATGCTGGCGCGGCTGGAGGAGGGCAGAGCATCCACGTCCTCGTTGCCTGTCACTGTCACCTTCAACTGCTGAGATCATCACCCACATCCCACCCCACCCCATCCCATCCCATCCCACCCTATCCCATGCCATGCAGGCAGGGGGCTGCAGGAGTCCTGTCCACACCCCCCCCACCCCCCCTTGCTGTCTGCTGCTCCTGCTCCCTCTTCCCTCTCTGATCTTCCCTCGCTCCCACCTCTCTCCAGGCACCTTCCGCTTTGATCTCCGCTCTGCGCTTTATTTCCCACCCCCCCGGCTCCCCCCATCCCTGCTCCATCCCTCCCCTCCTTCCCCCGCCTCTCCCACTCCTGTTACCTCCTTCCCTGCCTGCATCCCTGCTCTGTCTCCCTTCCTGGTACCTTAACCCAGGGATCCTGGGGTGCCTGGTCTGGGGGTACCCCATCCTGAGGATCCCTGGGTACCTCATGCCAGGGATGCCCTATCCTGGGGATCCTGGAATACCAAGTCCCAAGGATCCAGGGGATGCTTTGATGCCTGATTTTGGGGGTACCCCATCCCAGGGATTTTGGGTACCATGTTCCAGCGATCCCAGGGTTACCAGGTCCCAGGGATCCTGGGGTACCCTATCCCAGGGATGCTGGGTGTCCTGTGCCAGCAATCCCAGGGTACCGCATCCTAGGGTGCCCCATCCTGGGGCTTTGGGGGTGCCTGCCAGCACAGCCTGGCACCTGCGGATACCACACATGGATCTTGGGGTGTCTCCAGCTCCAGACCCCATGGATTGCTGTATCCCAGCCTGTGCCAGCACCAGCATGCTGTTCCGTGCCGTGCCAGGCCCAACCCAGGCACACAGCAGCTCCATTACCCACAGCTCGCGCATCCCAAGGGATTTCTGCCTCCCCCAATCCTGCTCCACAGCGGAAATCAGTTGGATATTTCAGGGAAAAGCCTTTCCATGGAGAAACCCCCAGGACGAGGCGGCTCCTCCCCGCGATGCCCCATTCCCGCTGCCCTCCTGCTCCCCATCCCCAGCTGCGATGCCCCATTCCCGCTGCCCTCCTGCTCCCCATCCCCACCTGCGATGCCCCATTCCCACTGCCCTCCTGATCCCCATCCCCATCCCCACCTGCGATGCCCCATTCCCGCTGCCCTCATCCCTGCCTGCGATGCCCCATTCCCTCTGCCCTCCTGATCCCCATCCCTGCCTGCGATGCCCCATTCCCTCTGACCTCCTCCTCCCCATCCCTGCCTGCGATGCCCCATTCCCTCTGACCTCCTCCTCCCCATCCCTGCCTGCGATGCCCCATTCCCTCTGCCCTCATGCTCCCCATCCCTGCCTGCGATGCCCCATTCCCTCTGACCTCCTCCTCCCCATCCCTGCCTGCGATGCCCCATTCCCACTGCCCTCCTGCTCCCCATCCCCACCTGCGATGCCCCATTCCCACTGCCCTCCTGCTCCCCATCCCTGCCTGCGATGCCCCATTCCTGCTGCCCTCATGCTCCCCATCCCTGCCTGCGATGCCCCATTCCCGCTGCCCTCATCCCTGCCTGCGATGCCCCATTCCCTCTGCCCTCCTGATCCCCATCCCCACCCCTGCCCCGGCCCCCCCCGCTCGATCCGCGCTGGCCGCGTGATGGAGCACCGGGATCGATGCCGACCGCAAGCCCCAGCAGAGCTCTCCTATGGGAATGGGGCCATGACGGAGCACCGGGCGTGCAGCGCACCCCGCGCCCTGGCTCAGCACCCTCCTCCGCCCGCAGCGCTGCAGACGCGGTTCGTGGAGGAGCCCGAGGACCAGACCGTGGTGGCCGGGCACAGAATCGTCCTCTCCTGCGTGGTGCTCAACTACTCCGGCATCGTGCAATGGACCAAGGACGGCCTCGCCCTGGGCATGGGGCAGGGGCTCAAAGGTACCCGTGGGGCAGCCCCGGGGGTGTGAGCGTGCGGGGAAGGGGTTGGCACTGCATGGGGGGGGGCTCTCATTGAGCGCTGCATCTCCTGCAGAGCCTGCTCCCAGCTCCCTGTGCAGCGATCCCGGCTGCGGTGGGGCTCATGGCATGGGCCCCAGCAGCGAAGCATGGGGTAGGGATGGGTGCCTGTGCTCTGCTCCTTCCTGCGCTCACTGGTGTTCCTGCGGTCCCTGCATGCGCTGGGGTCCTGCACGCATTGGGGTCCTTGCATGCACTGGGGTCCCTGCACGCACTGGGGTCCCTGCACACATTGGGGTCCCTGCACGCACTGGGGTCCCTGCACACATTGGGGTCCCTGCATGCACTGGGGTCCCTGCACGCATTGGGGTCCTTGCACATACTGGGGTCCCTGCATACACTGGGGCCCTTTCATGTACTGGGGTCCCTGCACACATTGGGGTCCCTGCACACACTGGGGTCCCTGCATGCAATGGGGTCCCTGCACTCATTGGGGTCCCTACATGCACTGAGTTCCCTGCACACACTGGGGTCTGTGCACACACTGGGGGCCCTACATGCACTGGGGTCCCTGCACACATGGGGGTCCCTGCACACATAGGGGTCCCTGCATGCACTGGGGTCCCTGCACACATGAGCTTCCCTGCACACATTGGGATCCCTGCATGCACTGGGGTCCCTGCATGCACTGGGGTCTCTGCACAAACTGGGATCCCTGCACACATGGGGGTCCCTGCATGCACTGGGGTCTGCACAAACTGGGGTCCCTGCACACATGGGGATCCCCACACACGCTGGGGTCCCTGCACGCACTGGGGTCCCTGCGGGCACTGAGCACCCACATTCACCAGCCCCCCCCCCCCCCATCCCCTGTCCCCCCTGGGGCTGGCACTGGGTGCAGGCAGCCCCCGGCTCTGCCCAGGCTGCACCCAAAGGGCCCGGAGCTGCTGCTCCATGGGCAGAGGGTGGGGAAGGGGCTCCGAGGCGCTGGGTGACGCCGTGCCCTGCGCTGCCCGCAGCCTGGCCGCGGTACCGCATCGTGGGCACGGCGGACTCGGGGCAGTACAACCTGGAGATCAGCGACGCCGAGCTCTCCGATGACGCTGTGTACGAGTGCCAGGCCACCGAGGCTGCGCTGCGCTCGCGCCGCGCCAAGCTCACCGTGCTCAGTGAGTGAGAGCCCCAAGGGGGGCACCGCCGCGTCCCTGCCGTTCCCCATGTCCGTGCCTCCTGTCCACTGTACTCCATGGCCCCCCGTAACCCAGGTGTCCCATTCTACCCCATGTCCCCCCATACCCCATACCTTATGTCTCCCACTGTACTCCATGTCCCCAACTGTACCCCATGTCTCTTACCATACCCCATGACCCCCATACCCCATGACCCCCACCATACCCCATGTCCCCCATACCCCATGTCCACACCATACCCTATGTCCCCCACAGTACTCTATGTCTCCCCCATACCCCATGTCCCCCACCATACCCCAGGTCCTCTCTGTACCCCTTGTTCCCCATGTTCCCCATTGTACCCCATGTCCCCACAATACCCCATGTCCCCACAATACTCCATGACCCCCATACCCCATGTCCACACCATACCCTATGTCCCCCACTGTACTCTATGTCTCCCCCATACCCCATGTCCCCCACCATACCCCAGGTCCCCCCTGTACCTCTTGTACCCCATGTTCCCCATTGTACCCCATGTCCCCACAATACCCCATGTCCCCACCATACCCCATGACCCCCACCATACCCCATGTCCCCCATTGTACCCCATGTCCCCCGTTGTACCCCATGTCCCCACCATACCCCATGACCCCCACCATACCCCACATCCCCCATTTTACCCCATGTCCCCCCATTGTACCCCATGTCTCCCACCATACCCCATGACCCCCATACCCCATGTCCACACCATACCCCATGTCCACACCATACCCTATGTCCCCCACAGTAATCTATGTCTCCCCCATACCCCATGTCCCCCACCATACCTCAGGTCCCCCCTGTACCCCTTGTACCCCATGTCCCCACAATAGCCCATGTCCCCACCATACCCCATGACCCCCACCATACACCATATCCCCCATACCCCATGTCCACACCATACCCTATGTCCCCCACAGTACTCTATGTCTCCCCCATACCCCATGTCCCCCACCATACCCCAGGTCCTCTCTGTACCCCTTGTTCCCCATGTTCCCCATTGTACCCCATGTCCCCACAATACCCCATGTCCCCACCATACCCCATGACCCCCACCATACCCTATATCCCCCATTGTACACCATGTCCCCACAATACCCCATGTCCCCCATTGTACCCCATGTCCCCACAATACCCCATGACCCCCACCATACCCCATGACCCCCACCATGCCCTATGTCCCCCATTGTACCCCATGTCCCCACCATACCCCATGACCTCCACCATACCCCATGTCCCCCATTGTACTCAATGTCCCCACCATACCCCATGTCCCCCATTGTACCCCATGTCCCCTGTTGTACCCCGTGTCCCCACCATACCCCATGTCCCCCACCATACCCCAGATGTCCCCTGTACCTCTTGTACCCCATGTTCCCCATTGTACCCCATGACCCCACAATACCCCATGTCCCCCCCATACCCCTTGACCCCCATTCTACCCCTTGACCCCCATTGTACCCCATGTCCCCCCCATGTCCCAGGGCCACGCAGGCAGCAGTGTGGGAAGCGCCGGCTCTGCCTGTGCCTCCCGTTCCCTCCGGCAGCCTCCAGCGCTGTTATCTTTAATGCCTCCCTCTCTGTTGACGCCTATGAGCTGTGGCACCGCTGGCAGGAACTTGGATTTCCCAACTTTTGTGGCTTGGGAAAAGGGAAGAAAATGCCGGAGCTGCAGCAGAAACGCCGCAGGAATGGGGGGGGGGAGGGCAGGGATTGCTGCTTTTCCTTCTTTCTTTCTTTATTTCCCTCTTCACCCTCCTTCCCCGGGCATTCAGTCATGGAAGTGACCAGGTTGGAGAAGAGCTTTAAGCTCATCCGGTCCAACCTTTCCCCTGCACTGCCAAGGCCAGCAGGCATGGAGGAGGTTCCTGTGGGTGCTGGGGTCCCTGACACAAGGACACCCCGTCTCTGCCCACCCCACTACCCCGTCCCCATTCCCACCGTGTCCCCTGTGTCCTCCCCAGTCCCCCCCGAGGACCCCACCATCGATGGAGCCCCCGAGATCCTGCTCCGTGCGGGGACCCCGTACAACCTGACGTGCCGGGCCCGCAGCGCCAAGCCAGCGGCCACCATCGTCTGGTACCGCGACGGGCTCCAGCAGGATGGAGCCATCACCAGCACGGTACCGCACCCACATCCATCCCTCAGCACCACCCCGCATCCCCAGCACCGTGCTGGGAGCCATGGGACCACCCCGTCTCCTTGCAGGAGGTGTTGGCCGATGGCAAGAGGGAGACAACCACGAGCCAACTGGCCATCAACCCAACGGACCTGGACATCGGGAGGGTGTTCTCCTGCCGCAGCACCAACGATGCCATCCCGGCGGGCAAGGAGACCTTCGTCAAGCTCAATGTTCACCGTGAGTTCATGCCGGGAGGGGCGCGATGGTTCCTGGTGCTGGTGGTGGCGCTGGGGGCGCTGGAGATGAGCTTTTGGGGTGCGTGGGTATCCCAGCCCCAGCGGTGAAGCTGGGCTCCTGCACAGGGGTTGTGTCCATCGGGATGCGCCCATCCGGTCGGTGGCTGAAATGGGACTCAGTGGAGAACACCGACCTCCAGTGGCTGCTGCGGGAAGCTTCTGCACCCACCGCCAGCACCAGGGATGGGCAGGGATGCTGGGTGCCCACCGCCAGCACCAACAGTGGGCAGGGATGCTGGGTACCCACCGCCAGCACCCACAGCAGGCAGGGATGCTGGGTGCCCAATGCCAGCACCCGTGATGGGCAGGGATGCTGGGTGCCCACCGCCAGCACCAACAATGGGCAGGGATGCTGGGTGCTCACTGCCAGCACCAGCAATGGGCAGGGATGCTGGGTGCCCAATGCCAGCACCAACAAGGGGCAGGGATGCTGGGTGCCCACCGCCAGCACCAACAATGGGCAGGGATGCTGGGTGCCCACCGCCAGCACCAACAATGGGCAGGGATGCTGGGTGCTCACTGCCAGCACCAACAATGGGCAGGGATGCTGGGTGCCCACACAAAGCTTTTGGCATCTCCTGCTCAGCATGGGAAAGAAGCAATGCAGCACTGGGAGGGGGACTGTCCCTTTGTCCCCTGTCCCTGGGCCACACTGAGCCCGTGCCTCTCCATCCGCCCTCCCCACAGACCCCCCGACCGTCACCCTGTCCATCCAGCCCCAGACGGTGCAGGAGGGCGAGCGAGTTGTCTTCACCTGCATGGCCACCGCCAACCCTGAGATCAGAGGCTACAGGTGAGGCTGCAGCAGCTCCCTCCCCGACCTCCTGCTTGGCCGCAGCATCCCATGGGAATGGCAGGGATGCTGAAACGCGCCCACCTTGGGTGTCTGCCCCCATCTAGGTGGGCCAAAGGGGGGGTGATCATCGAGGACGCCAAGGAGAACAAGTACGACACGCAGGTGGACTACACCTTCTTCACGGAGCCCGTCTCCTGCGAGGTGCACAACGACATCGGCAGCACCAACGTCAGCACGCTGGTGGACGTGCACTGTGAGTGGGGCAGCCCCACACCCCCGGCACCCCCTGGCTCCTGGCACCCTCCTCTCACCCTGTCCCCACCTCTCCAGTTGCGCCTCGGATCGTGGTGGACCCCAAACCCACCGTCACGGACATCGGCTCCGACGTGACGCTGACGTGCGTGTGGTCTGGCAACCCACCGCTCACCCTCACCTGGACCAAGAAGGAGTCCAACATGGTACGGGCTGGTGGGTGAGATGGCATGGGGGGCCTCAGGGGGTGCCCCGTGCCCCCTCCTTGATGGTGTTTGCACCCAGGTCCTGAGCAACAGCAACCAGTTGTACCTCAAGTCCGTCACTCAAGCCGACGCGGGGCAGTACATCTGCAAAGCCATCGTGCCCCGCATCGGCGTTGGCGAGCGCGAGGTCACCCTCTACGTCAACGGTGAGCGCGTCCCCCCCACCAGAGCCTGGCCCGTGGTGGGTGCTGAGCAGTGCCTGGGGTCCAGGTCAAGCCCCCCCCGCTTTGTGTCCCATAGGACCCCCCATCATCTCGAGCGAGGCCGTGCAGTACGCGGTGCGCGGGGACCGTGGCAAGGTGGAATGCTTCATCGGGAGCACGCCGCCGCCGGACCGTATCGTGAGTGCTCTGCTGGGGACGTGGGGGTGCTGGGAGTGACCCCGAGCTGAGGGTGCTGATGCAAACCCCTCTTCCCACCCCGTCATGGCCAGGCATGGGCCTGGAAGGAGAACATCCTGGAGGCAGGGACGCTGGAGCGGTACACGGTGGAGAGGACCAACACGGGCAGCGGTGTCCTCTCCACGCTCACCATCAACAACGTCATGGATGCAGACTTCCAGACCCGCTACAACTGCACGGCCTGGAACAGCTTCGGGCCGGGAACAGCCATCATCCAACTGGAGGAGAAAGGTAGCACCGGGATGGCACCGCGGGATGCAGGGATGCTGGGAAGAAGGCTCAGTCTTGGGTGTTAAAGGCAATGGAGCCATCATGCCGCGGCCACCTCCTGGCAGTGCCCCTGTCCCCTTGTCCCCAGCTAATGTCTCCCCATGTCCTGTAGAGGTTTTGCCCGTGGGCATCATTGCCGGGGCCACCATCGGGGCCAGCATCCTCGTCATCAGCTTCCTCGTGGCACTCGCCTGCTTCCTCTACCGGCGCCGGAAAGGAAGTGAGTGGTGGGCACGGGGGGGGGTTTGCACTCACTGCAGTGGATGCCACCCATGGGGACAGGGCGGGAGGAAGCTGACGGTGGCCGTGTCCATCCATGCCCGGTCCCACGTGTCCCCAGGCCGCAAGGACGTCACCCTGCGCAAGCTGGACATCAAGGTGGAGACCGTGAACAGGGAGCCGCTGACGCTGCACACGGACCGGGAGGAGGACACGGCCAGCGTGTCCACGGCCACCCGCGTCATGAAGGCCATCTACTCGGTAAGGGACACCCCGCAGGCTCCTCCCTGCCCTGGGATAGATGGGAGCAAGGATGCCTTCATCAGCGATATCTTCATCAGTCCATCGGGACTGGAGCGATAGGACAAGGGGTGATGGGTTCAAACTGGAACAAGGGGGACTTAGGTTGGACATAGGGAAGTTCTTCCCTGTGAGGGTGGTGGGGAACTGGAATGGGTTGAAAGAAGCTGTGGCTGCCCCATCCCTGGCACTGCTCCAGTCCAGGTTGGACACAGGGGCTTGGAGCATCCTGCTCCAGTGGATGATATCCCGGGTTGGAAGTGGCTGAGCTTTAAGCTCCCTTCAACCCACCCCATCCTGTGGAGGACCAAGCTCATCCCTTTCCCTCTCTCCCACAGTCATTCAAGGACGACGTGGACCTGAAGCAGGACCTGCGCTGCGACACCATCGACACCCGCGAGGAGTACGAGCTCAAGGTCCGGTGCCGGGGCAGGGTGTGCGGGAGGAGGCAGAAGGACCCGGAGCCCCCTTTCCCTCCCTTTCATCCCCTCCATCACCCCCTTTCTCCCCCCCCCCCCTTCCCAACCAGGACCCCACCAACGGCTACTACAACGTGCGCGCTCACGAGGACCGCCCGTCCTCCCGCACCGTGCTCTACGCCGATTACCGGGCACCGGGCGCCGGGCGCTTCGACACGCGCCCGCCCTCGCGCCTCTCGCACTCCAGCGGCTACGCTCAGCTCAGCACCTACAGCCGGGGCCCCGCCGCCGAATACACCCCGGAGCCCGCCCCGGCGCCCGGCCCCGCGCCCGGCGGCGACACCGCGAGCCAGCTCTCCTATGAGAACTACGGCGGCCACGCGGCGTTCCCCGCCGGCGCCGCGTACCCCACGTACCGGCTGGGCTACGGGCAGCCCCCCAGCATGGAGCGGGCGCCCTACGATGCCTACGACCCCATGGGCAAGTACAGCAGCGCCACGCGTTTCTCCTACACCTCCCAGCACTCGGACTACGGGCAGCGCTTCCAGCAGCGGATGCAGACGCACGTCTGAGGGCGCGCAGGGGATGGGAGGCACAGGCACAAAAAAGGGGGGTCCCACAGGTACCTCACGACTGTCCCCTGATATTCAGGGGCTCATCCTGACCCTCCTGCCGCTCCTCCGCCGGTGGCTGGGCTCCAAGCGTCGCCCTGCCCCTGGGGATGCGCCCTGGGCACTTCGAGCTTCCATTCATCCTGGTTCTTTCTGTTTGGTACCTTCCCAATGGAGGGAGAGGGTTGGGGGGCACCAACCCCACTGATCCCGCTCCCCCCCAGCCTCAGCGTGTGCGTGCGGGTCCACGCGGATCCCCCCGGATCCTTTCCAAAGCTCTGTGGGGCGGGAGCCTTCCTCCATGGGTCCCCTGATCCAGCTCCTCTGCAGGAGCGAGGGGCTGCACATCCCATCCCATCCCCATCCATCCCATCCCATTCCCATCCATCCCATCCCATTCCCATCCATCAAATCCCATCCCATCCCTGTGAGGGAGCTACTATATGTGTGTGCACACGTGGCTGTAGGTACAGACATATAGGCAACACCAAAAAAAGCCCCATCCCAGCCCATTCCCATTCCCTGTGCCTTGATTTTGGGGACAGCCTGCACCTGGGGCCGGCTTCCCCTTTCCCATCCATCCCACTGCCAGCCCTGCGCTCCCATCAGGGGTCCCGGGGTGCTGCAGACCCCCACTCTCTGCACGCTCAGAGCGGGGCATGGGCAGTGGTTCCAGGTTCTGCCTCGCTGGTGTCACCCCAAACCCACCCCAAGAACACCCCATTGGTCCCACTGATGTGGGGATAGGGGGGTCCCTCTTCTGAATGTATATACAGGTGTAAATGGGGGAGGGAGCACCCCTCAGGCCTCCAGCAAGGGTTACTGCTCCACAAGCCCATCCCTGGAACATTCCCAAGGGTTTGGTGATCCAATGGAGCCATGGACCGAGCTGGTGGGAGCAGGGAGGCACCAGGGCGATGGGGACCCCAATATCCCACAGTGAGCTGGGGGTGCGATGAGCTTTGGAGGAAGGCTGGAGGCACAGGATGGGCTTTTGGGATGGCGAGCCCCACACCTGGGCCCCTGCAGCCCCCCCTCCCAGGGTTAGGTACGAGCTCTGTCCCCATCTGCATCATGGGGATGCGCATCATGGTCCCCACCCCACTGCGCACCCCTGGAGCCAGGTACGATTCCAAGGGGCTGCTGGGAGGGTTGGGAGGGGGGGGGGGGGGGGCAGATCCAGCACATCTTGGGGGTTCCCCACACCCCTCTTCTCCTCCTCACCCCCCCACAAGGTACTGTCAGCACCCAGCCGGAGCCTCCGACTGCAGGACCACGTGCCATTTCTTGCAATGGTGCCTGATTTACCCCCCCCCTCCAACACCCCCAAACCCTCCCCTGCATCCTTGGGGGGGGGGGACAGCCCCGTTTTGGGGTGCTGCACCCCACACCGATAGCAATACCCCCGCAGCAGCACGGGACCAGCCACCCCGGGCGCCGCACCAAGAAGCTGAAGCTTTAAATCCAACCTCCCCCGGGGTGGGGAAGGGACACCCCCCCCCCCCCCGGCCATGGGAGCCCCCCAAAGCTCCGGGTGAGGGGCCCCTTCCTTAGCACAGGCTGGTTTAGACCCCAGAGACACGTATCTGTGAGCCCCCCCTCCCCAAAACCTCCCCATTTTTTATGTTTCCTTTTCCTTTCCTTTTGTTTTTAAATATTCTGTACTATATTTTTAGTCTTAAACACGATATATTATATATATTTAATTTTTTTATATATATATATAAATATAAATGGTCCAAAAAGGGGGTCTGTGGGTCGCTTCTGTCCCGCGGGAGCAGCGCGGTGGGGTGGGTGGCACTGGCACGACGGTCACATTGCTCCAGTGGTGGCACTGGGCACACGGAAGTTCCCAATCCAAAGCACTGGTTTTTCCCACTGCTCTCCCGTGCAGTTTTCCATGCCGAGGGCATCACCCATTCACTTGAAGCCTCCTCTTGCTGAGGGATGTTCTTCAACCTAAAGTGACTCTGTAGAAGCCTTCAACCACTTGAAGGGGGGTTTCAGAGACAGCATCATGGAATGGGGTGGAAAGGACCTTGGGCTCATCCAGTTCCAACCCCTGCCATGGGAGCAGGGGGCTCCAAGCCCCATGAGCACTGCCAGGGATGGGGCAGCCCCAGCTTCTCCATTCAACCCATTCCAGTGTCCCAGCACCCTCACAGGGTAAAGCTTCCTCCGCCGACCCCATCCCAAGCCCCATTCTCACCCCCTGCAGACCCCATCCAAGCAGCCCAGGGTGCAGCCAGGCTCTTTCCAAGCTATTCCTCCGATGCCAGGATGGGCGCCGGGGCTGCCCCAGCTCCTCCCGGATGTGTTCGATCCTTAATCCCTGCTTTCCCTGCACACCCCCCTGCAGCCAGCCTCACTGAAGGACTCCGCTTCCCATTCCTTGCTGTGTTTCCACGCCTGGTTGATTATGCATGAACCAGGCAAGTTCCCTGCTGCTCCGGGGACCCATCTCGGAAACCACTTTGTCATTCCTAATGGCTTCTGCTGGAGCGGGGAGCAGCGGGGCCGATGGAAGCACCGGGGCACGGATGGATGGGCACGGAGAAGAGGAGAACATCACATCCTTGTGTGAACCCAGCCGGGAGCTCCAGAGACATCCCAAATGCAAGCCCTGGGGGTGTCTCCTTGCGGAAGAAGCCGCTTCTGTTCCCCGGGATAGAACGCCCCCTCCTCAGCACCGCCTCGCTCATCCCGATGGATTCCAAGCTATTCCCCAGCCTCCTCCTCTTTCTCCCTTGCTCTTCCTCCCCCTTCCTTCCCCTCCTTTGGAGTGGGTGGGATTTAGGGTGAGCCGCAGGATCTGCTCCCTCTTGCATCCCCATGTGCCTGTTCCCACCTCGATGGGGCTGGTGAACCCTGTGCCCTCAACCCCATAGGATCTGGGTGTAGGATTCCACCAGGGATCAACACGTTCCTGCCCTCAGGAAAACCCATCCCAGAGCAGCAACGTTGCCAGGCAGGGAGAGGAACTCGGGCCCACAGCCTGGAGCTTGGGTAGGGACAGCCCCATGGAGCTCAGCAACCACCATGGAGCTCAACAGCCTCCATGGAGCTCCAACAGCCCCATGGAGCTCCAACAGCCCCCATGGAGCTCCAACAGCCACCAGCCCTGGCTGTGCTCAAGGCCAGGTTGGATGGGGCTTGGAAGGGGTACCTGCCCATGGCTTTAAACGAGTTTTAAGGTCCCTTCATCCCAAATGACTCCATGGCACTAGGAAGAAGGAATCCCCATCCCCACCCCCATCCCCATCCCATCCCCGTCCCCATCCTATCCCCATCCCAACCCCATCCTCATCCCCACCCCCAACCCCAACCCCAACCCCAACCCCGTCCCCGTCCCCGTCCCCGTCCCCGTCCCCGTCCCCGTCCCCGTCCCCACCCCCACCCATGGCCCACTTACAGCCCCATCAATCTCGCGAGATTTGACAGGCGAGATCAAGGCATGGGGCGGGGCTATTACGTCATAACGCTGCGTCCGAGGGCGGCCAGGGCCTGAGGCTCTGAGCGGGGCCCGATCCCGATCCCGATCCCGGTCCCGATCCCGATCCCGATCCCGGTCCCGATCCCGATCCCGATCCCGATCCCGATCCCGATCCCGGTCCCGGTCCCGATCCCGATCCCGATCCCGGTCCCGGAGCCGCCCGCAGCAGCCGGGCCGGTTCCGCGGAGGGGATGGGGTTTGCGGAGCGCTGAGGGCGGTGCCGGTTCCCGGGGCGCGGCCCCGTCCCCGTCGGCCGTGGTGGGCGGTGAAGCGCCGCGGGTCCGCTGCGGCTCGGCGGCCCCTCCGCAGGGGTGACCTGTGCGCTGTGAGCGGAGCCCCCGAGCTGCAGGGACAGGGCGAGGGGAGCGGCTTGAACCTGCCCGAGGGGAGACTGAGCTGAGCTCTTAGGCAGAAGCTCTTCCCTGGGAGGGTGCTGAGGCGCTGGCACAGGGTGCCCAGAGAAGCTGTGGCTGCCCCATCCTTGGCAGTGCTCAAGGCCAGGTTGGACACAGGGCTTGGAGCATCCTGCTCCAGTGGAAGGGGTCCCTGCCTGTGGCTGCAGATGAGCTTTAAGCTCCCTTCATCCCAAACCATTCCATGGTTTATGACCCGAGCAGGACGACAGCGGGCGTTGGTGCAGGATCAACCACTCCATCCCCGTTGTGTGCGCGCAGAGGCGGGCTGGAGGTGAGAGCAGCTCCTCCATCGCTATGGCTGCTCTTTAAGCCTGGGAACAGATTGGGCTCCCCCTGTGTCCCCCCCCAGTCCCCTCGCTCTGTGTGCAAAGGGACAAGTTCGGGTTCCGCTGAGCTGAGCTCTCTGTGGGTGCTGTGGGTTCCGGTGTTTCTTGCCTGTCACCAAGCCCCTGTGCTCCCCCCAAGCACGCGAGGCTGGGGAGCACTTGGCAGCTCCGGCTCTGAGCTTCCCGGTCTCCCTCCTCCCTTTGCAGACCCCAAAATCAGGAGCTGGCTGCATCCAAAGAGCCCTGCGTGGTCCCACCTCCTCCTGCGAGTGCCACATAGAGCGGGACCAGAGGCACCATGGCCCAGATGAGGGAACGGGGGTGCCAGGGTGCATCCCGTCTGCAGAGGGATCAGAGGGGAGGGTGAGGGTCTTTTGGGGGCCTCCTGCTATGTCCAGGCACCCACAAGGTCCCTCGTGCCCTGCAAAGGGCGGTGTTGGCAGCCCCAGTGCCCTCCCTGGGCTCCATCACTGCTGGACCACGGTGGCTGCTGTGGAGCTGCTGGAGCTTCCCGAGGTCCCTCTGTGGCACATCCCTGACGGGCAGGACACGGTGGTGGCTCAGGTCTCCATTCCCACCTTCACCAGCCCTCTGCTTTGCACTGCTGTTCCCTGTGCTTTGGGGCATCCCTCGCTGCCACATGCCAAAGAGCCACATCCCGTAGTGGATGCAGCTCATGTGCCAGTGGGAATGATGACCTCGGGAGTGATCCTGGGTCCGATGGACACCCCCGAATCCCTGTAAAGGATCGAGCCCGTGGCGCTTCCCAGTGTGATGGGGGGGAGAGATGGACTCAGTGTTTCCCAAAGTCCTGCTTGTGGAACCCCACGGCGCCGGGTGTTTGGAGCCCCATCTCCTCATGGATGCCCCCCACAGCTCCCAGCCGTGCCATCCTCCTCCGCTCCCAGGATCAGCTGCTTTTCCCTGGAAACTGGAACTTCCAACTCAGCAGCTTCCATTTCCCTTCAGCCCTCCAGAGAGGCAGCGGGTCCTGCCCCTGCTCAGCTGCCTGCACCCCTTGGGGGGACCCCGATGGAGTCGATCACCCCTTGGGTGCGGGTTAATGCTTGTGCTCGTAGTAGGTGGCAAACCCCATCCCCACCGCGCTGCGGAAGCTGCTTCCCCTCATCCCTGTTTTCCACTTGGAGCTGCGGGAGGGATGAAAGAAGAAAGAAGCTTTTTGTGCTGCTCATGGGAAGTTTCCTTCCAGCCCCAGCCCCCGCAGCAGCTCAGAGCTCTGCAATCCCGGCTGGCAGAGCCCGGCGGGTCCATTTCTGCCTCAGCCCCGCCACAGCACCTATTCCCAAGGGGTTTCCTCTGGGATTCAGCCAAGACCTCGCATCGCTCCAGGACATCCCTTCCCGTGCAGTTTTCCGCACCCAAAGGTGCTCGGGTACCTCCTATTGGGAGTGGGACCGCCCCCAGCCGCAGGATGCTCCCGCTGCCTGCAATTCCCAAGGGAAAATGCTCTTAACTTTGGGAAGCCCCTTTCCAACGAGCTCCCCAGGGCCGGCGGGTGACCTGGCACGGCTGTGCCGTTAATCCGGGTACTGAACCGGGATAACGAAGGGGGGTTCGGGCAGCCCCCGCTGAGCATCCTCATCAGTGCGGATGCCACCCCCGGCCACTTAATTATGGCGAGCTAATTATTAATTAGCCGGCTGTGCCCCGCGATGCGCTTGGGCTTCCTACGGGTTGTAGCGGCTTTGCTCCTCCCCGTCTCTGCCTCTGCCGACGGAGCCGCACCGGGAGCCGAGGAAGAGGAGGAGGAATGGAGCGGGAATTGGCCCGGAGCAAAGCGCGGCTGCCCTCGCTGCTCCTGGCGCTGCTCGGCCTCGGGCCAGGTGAGTGCGGGGCTCGGTGGGCACCGCGTCCTCATCCCATGGGAGCAGCGCGGCACGGGGTGGGCAGCGGGCAGGGCTGCGGACCTCATCCTGCTGCTCCCTGCCGCTGCAGCCCATCCCGACCATCCCAGCACCCGGATGGTTCCTGGAATGCGCGTCCAGCTTTTAACGGAGAGAGCAGCCGCTGCCCCAAGCCGGCTTCATCCCCCCGGGCTCCATCCCCTCACCCCTAACGTGGCTTCAAGCCATGGGGCCGCTGTCACCCCACAGAGCCCTTTAACCCCCGCAGGGCCGTGTCTCCTCCTCCTTACATAAAGCAGGAGCGAGGAATCCCCTTAATTCCCAGCGTGCTAATCCACACTTTTAATAATTCCCATAAAACCTCTGATTCCTACAGAAAGCATCTAATACTGCGGGCAGATTAGCGCAGGGGGGTTTATCTGCCTAGCGAGTAATTAGCTTGAGGAGCAAGACGAGCTGTCAGCAGCCCTGGGGCTGGAGGGATGTGGCACAAGGTGCCAGCCCTGCGCCGGTGATGCCAAACCTCTGACCCAGCTCCATGGGAAATGGGCCGTTAACGGCGCTTGGGAGTTTTCCAGCTGCTTTTTTGGATCCAATTTATTGGATATCAGAAAGGGGCGGGGGATGAGGACGAGCAAAACCTGA